TCATACTGTAGGAATGCTGACTTTAATGGACTAGTTGGAGGAAAGACGTCAAAGAATAAAAAGCTGCATATAATTTATTGTTCCAATTTAAAAATGTACCATATTAAGGCAACATAAAAGTTGCTCATTTTTATGTCTTTCCATTAAAGGCTCATGCACACTATTCTTGAATCAGCGACGTGTTAAAAACTCCAGGGAAGGAACAAAGCGGAACAGTAAATATTAAGCACATGATTTTCAGCAAGTTCTGTGTTAGTTAACTCCGTTTCAAGTTTTCCATCAGGAAAGAATTGTAACTAATACCACCGCTAAGGAGGAGGTTGCATTCTTGGTAGCAACTCGTAGGAGAGCCAGACAAACAAAGACCTGCCTAAACTGAGAGCTAAGACTCCAAAGTAAACCTCACAGATTTTGCTCGTAACAATAACTAAAAGAGTCATCCAGAAAAGCTGTATTTTATTTTTCCAATATCCAAACATTATTCAGATTGATAAGTCGGCCACTTGAAATGTAGGAAGTGGCAGACTTAAGAGGTTTTATATGATTTCAATTCAGCTCCCATGAGTCCATTCTGTGCAACAAATAAGGATCGGTGAAGAAAAAAAGTGAACATGCAGGAGTGTGAATTTAGACCACCAAGCACTGCCTAATGGCTGAAACCAGAAATTTCTAAGCAGACACTTCTGCAGCCCAAAGGGATTATACCTGCTTAGCATCCATGACCAGCTTTGCGGAAGAGGAGATCACAATACGGTGAAAAGCATGAGGCAAACTAAAACGAAATTGCTGGTGGCTTTTTCTTTCATTACCACGTATGCATATATCACTTACCTCCTACCACTGCTAAATTGTGTAAGGCCCCAGTGGCTTTACCTGCCAAATACCCAAGACTGGCTCTGGCTGTCACTACCACTCATGCCAGAGAAGTCACAGGCAGTGAGCAGGGATTCACCGTCAGCTCATTTCTGATTACTGATGGCTGATTCATAATCGGGGTTTGTGAATGCACAGACCAGAATTACTCCCACTTAATATTCCCCCTTAATACTTGCTTAACTATTAAGAAAATCAACATTATGAGAGGAAGAACAGCCAGCCCAGAAAAACTCCCAGCAGCCAGCTCCGCTTTGACCACATGCTTTCACATGCTTTTTTTGATGGCACAGCAGGTTTAAGCAATCCCACCTTTCCACCCAACAGCCTACTGTGCCCCAAAAATCAATCCTTCACTGTGCCAGAATTGTTTTGTGGTGCCATGTTATGAATCACTCTAGGGAATTAACTTGGCTGAAAAAAAAAAATCACTTTTTTGCTGTGTTGTTTTTCAGACACATTAATTCCCGATTAAACCCACAGCAGACCTGAATAAACACTGGAAGGGGTAGTGAAAGGGCAAGAGTATCTTGCATCAGTAATTGCTGACAAAGACACAGCAACTTCAGATTCAGCAGCACTGGTATTTTGCAAACTTCATTCCCCCCTGCAAACTACCTTGTGTTCTTCACAGAAACAGATGAAAAAGTTAACTGAACTGAAAAAATAAACCCAGTAAAGACGACATGGCTGAGTAAATGAGCAATGCTAAAGAACTATACACAGAACCACACAATAAGAGATTAACATATACAATTGGGTAAGGGTGGGGAGAGAAAGCAGAAGAGAGAGAAGATGAGAAACAGATGAATGGAGGAAGAGATCAACCAAACTGAAAGGGGAATGGGAGAAAAGCAAAACAATGACAAAGAAAGAAAAGAATACAAAGTGCCGAGAAAAGCAAAGCATAAGAAAATGAAGACAGACAGTAGAGCACGGAGAGCAGTACCATTAAAAGATCACATAGCATATCACACCTTCGTCTTCCTCAGAGTAGAAAGCCAGTAATTTACCAACTCTCAAGCCAAGGGCTTCTGATTTGGGGGATTAAAAGATTATTGTTCCTCAGAAGATCCAACTCGGTCTGGCAGCCTGAGAGACCTTCCTTTGCCAGCTGTGATCAGCAGTACCTGGACTAATTCAGAACGGCTTCTGTAAAGCAAAGCACTATTCACATATTCCTCACTAGACAGAAAGCATACAAGGAAAAGTGTTACAAACCCCACAAACTTCACTTACACACATGGACTCAAATTTCCCTTAAATATATCACAAGTACTCTGCCTTCCTTGCTGATACTGGTTCCTTCCTACAGGTAAGGTTTCATGACAACAAGGTGAACCTGTCAGGCATCTGTCACTGAAAGGAGGCAATCTACCCCAGCCCCACCACTTCCCACATGTTGCTGGTTTTTGAATGGGGTTTTTTGTTGTTGGTTGTTTGCTTTTCCTACTACCTTCTCTCTTCAGGTTCTTCTCTTCTTCTTTCCCTATAGCACTGCCGTAACAGAAGTGTGCCTGAAGCGGCGTCCAGAGAATACGACCCTCTTCTCCCTGGGGATCATATCAGTCCCATCTTTGCAAAAATTTGAGGAAGTAGGATAGATCTTTTACTCTAGAGTTACCATCAATTACCTCCACAAAAACACCACACAGCATTTATATGGCTCCCAATAACACTTGCAAACAATCACCTACTATAAACACACCAATTTTGCAACATACAATTGGAAAAAGTGTAATTTGAAAAGTGAATTCTGTCTTGACAGGTGAAAACTGGTTCCTTTCCACAACAATCAAAAACTAGACTCCTGCTCCTGTCAAAAGCATGACCTACACTCAAGCCTCATTAAAACAAAACAGAGTTAACGTATTTCACAAGCTTTCAATCTCAGAAATGAACATTGACCTCTATTGTTCTGTTCCTGCAGGCAAGGTTATCTGATTTAGACAATGGCTGAGGGTGCTGTGCAGCCGACATCATCTGACATCATTTGTCAAATGGTTCTCTCAGGTAGATGCAACTTAATGGGAAATTTCTGTTTCCTTCCAATTATTAAGCTGCACAAAAGATGCCTCTAAAAATACTTCTCTTCTAGCTGCCAGGCAAGAGCACCATCTGGTGTTCAGCTAATTAAACTTTCAACCTGCCTTTGGATCAGTTTTTTTGTTTGCTTGTTTTTTCAATTATGTTTCTTGTTTGGGGTTTTGTTGTTTGTTTGGGGTTTTGTTTTTTGCTTGTGTGTGGTTTGTTTTTTGTTTTTTTGTTTGTGTTTTTTTTTTTTTTAAGCAAACTTACTCTGCACTGGATCTGACTCCATGAAATAGGCACAAAAAAGCTGCAAAGCAAGCTACGAAAAACTCCTTTACTTGCTGGGGGAAGGAGGAGTAGAACAACTGAAAGAAATTGCTGGGGGTTTATATATAACTAATTCCCCCTAAAAAAATGGAAAACCAAATGTGGTGTTATAAGACTTCTTAGAATACTGTCCACCTTGTTAGTCATGGGTAGGCTGTAAACAATTCTTGCATCTTCAGAGATCTTAGAGAAAAAACAACTGCGCCCTCACCCACTGCCAGTTACGTACCACCCAGCTTTACAACTCACAACACTATCATCTTGCTACCCTCCGGCTATTCTCTCCACGCAGAAGACAAAATCCTTCCTCCTCATCATCACTCTTTACAAAAATAAGGCCTAGTAAATGCCTCCCAGTTGTTTATCTTAACCATTTTCCCTCCCAGTTGTCTGAACTTTCACTTACTCACAGGCACTCCAGTATGAGACACAGATTATCTACCAGATCTGCTCCTAACTGTTACGAAAATAAACGTGTCTCTGCCTTTCAGAAGCTACTGTGCACAAGACACGGCACAGAAGTCAGTCATGTAACATGTAAACTGTATCTCACTAGAAATTGTATTCCGTTCTTCATTCAATCACTAATTTATATTCAAGGTTTGGGACCTCAGGGTAGTCATAAATCTGCACTAGTTTTTCCACCTTCGGAAAAAAAAAATATCTTTGACTACCATTCATTTTGCCAGGAGCTCTGTTTTAACAAAAAAAAAAATAGAAAGATGGCAATAAAATTGGCCAGAACAGCTCTCAAAAACATTTCCAATTTATTAAAGATTAGAAGTGTTCCCAATTTTAGCAGTAACACATCGTGGCCTATTTAAAACTGTTACACAAGTGTTTAGATGTAGTCTGTTATGACCCTTTATGAAAAAGCTAGGTCCTTTGCAAGAAAATACTGCTAATAATAAAGGGAATAAATAAGACATTCAGTTGAAAGAAAAGTATCAGGTCACACTGTAAACTGTAAAAACAGTTTAAGTAATACTTAAGGTATTAAGTAATAGCAGATTGTTCTTGTAAGACTGATAATCAATACACAGGCCAATGAACTTAGCGATGGACTTGGGTTAACAGAAGTCACAAGGACTTACGTTCTGTATTTCTGGAGATGGATCCTCTCAAATACTAATTTTGTTTATATCTACACCACTTGCTAGAGTGAAAAGACATGCAAAACTTGAATTTTAGATATTTAGAAAATATTTTTATGGAGACAACATGCCAAGCTTCTTTTTAAAATGTAAAAGGGAGGCAGGGGGTAAGCCATACAGACTAAGAAACTTAACACCTTACATACAATTAAGTTATGGAAGACGTACAAACTCAACAGCTAACTTACAATTAAGTTATGGAAGATGTACAATTCACTGTAAGTTGAGAGGAAACATGCGTTGGAGTCTTTAGCAACTCCAGAAACACCAGAGGCTTTCTCAAAGAAAAAAAGAAAAAGGCACCCCAAAACAACAACAAAAAAAAGCAAAGCTCCCCCACAACAGTACAGAACCTACTTCTGAGCTTTCTCAGCTAACAGGAGAATGAACAGCAATTACAGCTATTATGAAGAAGAAAGGAACCCACAGGAATGGAACAGGTGATGGATGCAAAGAGCTTCCAAAATTAGAAACAACAGAATCCATTTTACATGGGCATTTATTCCTCTGCTACCTAAAACAGGAATAATTAACAAAACCACTCATGTGCTTTCAGACTTGTCACTTCTATAAATATATTATCAAGGTTTAGTTCTTCAACAAGCACCATCTTACCTGTTTGTTGGAGTGGTAAAGCTAAAAGACAGCAGCTGATTCCAGAACGGGTCATTCTCGGAGATGGGCTCTGCTCCTGATAATTTTTTTAAGTACTCATTTTCCGGAAGCTCGCTGATGCTGCTGCTATTTGCTCCCATTTTCTTTATTTGGCAAATCCCTTTCTAAATTTTCATTTCTTCAAGGAGAAGGGGGGAAAAAAAAAAAAAAAAAAAAAAGAGAGAAGCATTTAAAGTCTTTTGTACAAATAAGGAATATACAGATCCTAAATTAGCTATCAGCAAAGCTTTAGTTCACTACCTTGAACAATTACTGAAATGTAGAAAGCAGGCGCATAGGAAGGCATTAGAAGATTTTCTTTCAACAAACTTAGGACAATAATGTCTTCATCCAAGGAAGTTAAAAGCTACTGTGCTACTACTGCAGTCATCATCTCACTTTGATTTTCATAAATTACACTCAGCAAGAAGACAGTGTCACAATTGTATCAATATCAAGGTTGCTACCAGGGGGAAAACTGCAGGGAATTCACCATTTAAACATTGACTAATAGCTTTAAAAGTTTGTATTAAAAAAAAAGCACCTCCATCAAGATAAAAGCGCTGTGCAATGTATTACTGTGTAACCAAGTACTCACTCCTGAGCTGGCATAAGACATAATAAGGACAGCTATATTAGAAGATGCAAGCTACTACTCAGCAGCAACTCTTCCCTTGGTCTCGACAAAGATACAGGATCTGTTTCAAGAATCACTCCAGTACTGATTCTTATAGACTCATCATCTTTGCAGAAGCAGTTACTTCCAGAAAAGACCATTCTAGTAGCAGTTAATACAATAAAGAACAGTATAAAAATGAGGAAAACTTACTAAAAAGAACTGAAGAGACACAACGAAAAGCTGCAATGTTTGCAGCCATCATGGAGGCTATCTGAAGAACTTATATTCGAGATTTAGAGCGAATGCACAGTACCAAATATTTCAGAAACAACAAAATGCCACAGATGGAGAGTAGAATATAGGATACTATTAAGTAATAAATAGGTCTTTAAAAGTGAGATCCTACAAAAATGAGGAAAATGTTTATTATTTTCTAAATTTTGCTTGTAGGGGACACTATAGGCTAGGAAAATACCACTCCACACTCCTCTCCATTCTAGTAGTCCATCATTATTAGCTGCTCTAGAAGACAGAATACAGTGAGACAAAACTTTACACTGACTTGGTGTATCTGCTTTTATAACAACTGCACCACTGTAGTTTTGCCATCATGCACCCAGGGAGCTCTATTTTTATGAGGCAGTTTGGTTTCTACCACCTCCCTTTTTATCTGACCAACGGGGAGAGAGATACAATAACCTTATCACCTCTGTATGTCTCATTTAGCAAAAAGCTCTGAAGACGCTGTCTATAGCATTTGCAGAAGCCATTTTTGTTATGGGGACTACCTCCAGGAAGAGAAATTTAAAAGTGGCCTAGGAGTAAAAATGGAAGTTTGTGCCAGGGAATTCTGTGGAGAAGCATTAAAGGACTATAAAATGTAATTAGTTTAAGAGGATTTTCCAGACCTTTGGTTGAATGTTTACTCACAGAACAGAATGAATGCATCTTACTTGAATACAAATTTTGCCACTTCAAAGAAAAAAGCTCAGTGTACGCTACCTTTGAAATAAAGCCAATGAATACCAAAGCTAGAGAATAAAGTAGAAGAGAAACCAGTTTGCATAATACATGAGAACACTGGACCATCACTTCGAAGTAGAAGAATCAAGGTTCAGCTTGTACATGGACACCTCAGCTCTGCAGCCCCTGGTTTGCACATGCCCAACTACGGCAGAAGCCAACAACAATGCTCTTGGCCCTGGACCCATATTTTGGCTCAAGTCCCTTCCCTGCATCTTTAGATGACTTAAAGATCATACATTTAAACCTTTATTTCTAGGAGTACAGACAGTTCAATTCCGTGTCTGCCTCAACTTCCCATCCTCTGCTCATGCTTCCCAGCTCACGTAAGGAGCAGCTCACTTGCTCCAGGATGAACACCCAAGGGAGAAGATAAACAAGAAGTAGCCGGAGCCCTGCCTTCAAATTCCTCCGCCTGAACCTATAATTCTTGAGTTCACTGTGCCAGCACTCTGACCATGCCCTAAATCCTTAGCCCATCCTCCTAAGGTGAGTAACTCCATTTTATTTCACAAGCTATTCTCACAGCTTGCTGCAGCTCCCAAAGTCCCCCATTTAACCCATTTCCCCAGCAATATGAGAGCAACGGGAACAGGCTGCAAGCTAGTTCTTGAAAAGAATCTGCATACTTTCCAGATTTCCTACAGTATTCCAGTAGATTAAATTCCATTAAAACAAATCCTCCAAAATAAACAGTGCTTTAAAAGCAAGTTTTAGCAAAATATTTATTGTCTGTTTTCAGAGTCAGCATCAAATTCACACTGCCCCAGAACACACCCACTTCTGTAGCCAAAGCCATACAAGCAACAGGACGAGTTGCTGGCTAGAATCCCTTGTGAGCTCCCCTGTGCCCTAGCACCCGGCTGGCTCCTTCCAAACTGCAGAGATTGGGTTTTTTTCCCCCAGAGTACCTCCTCAGAGTGACAGAAAAATAAGGCACTAGCTGATTTTTTTTTTTTCCCCCACTAAATGAAATATCAAGCCATTGAGATCTGTCAAAAGAATCCAACTGCTAGCTAAATGCTTGTAGAAGTAGGTAGCAGATATGTGGACTTTGCAAACTCTGCCTTCTACTCATTTGTGAGCCAACAAATCTTAGAGCAAATAAACAAGCAGATTTTTCTCCAGGAGGGTTTTTTCGTCTCCTAGGAACGTTACATTCACTATACTCCTCTAAAGTAAAAATCTCAGCAAGTTCTACTGATACTTATTGTAGATGACCATACTTAGAAACAACATACGAGTGTAACAAAGCTAACTCCTTCCATCAGGAACTTACATTCTCTCAAAACTTGCTGAAGTGCTCTGCAATAACTTTATGATGCAGCCTGAGCACCTTCAGCTCCTACAACCTAAACAGCCATAGGCCCAGTTTTAAATAAGACAGACATTTCTGAGGAACTCCAGCCATCAGGTGGCAGAGGAAACAAGTCTTTCCTTCAGAGTTCATTAATATCTTACAGGACAAATGTGTAAAAATAATTTAAAAAAAAAAAAAAATCAACATTTAATTTCCTGGCATTTTAACAACAGTAACAGATTAATCCCGATGCTTTAAATGAGATGGTTACATGTTATCTGTGGTCTCCAACACATTTCCAAGACAGATGCTATTAAATAATATTAAATTAAATTCCAGTCACCACCTTAAATCATTTTCAAACATGCTATTAAATAACAGACATGTTTCTTTTAGACACAGCTGCCTTTAGCTGAAAAGATCACTCAAATAAAACATGTAACCACTTAAATTTGCAAATTGCTTTTGATTAACAGGCACTACTGCTGTGTCTCTGTATGCTGGTTAAGGCAGTAGAGATTCAAGTCTTTAGATGACATAAAAGGTTGGTCAGTATTTGGAACACAATTACCACAGTATTTTTAAAATACTATCTAATCCTCACTTAGCCATGATTTTCCCTAAACTTGACTTTCATAACAGAAAGGCTGCTTCAGGGGATCCCAAAGTCACTTCTGAACACAAGGTTAAGCAGATTCTGCTTCCTCACGCACAAGTGAGATAGCCACAAGAAACACCAAATAATAGAATTTCTTTCACTCCAGTCCTAACCCCAGCAGTAAATTACCAATGAAGTCTAAAATTTTTTTCTTGAAATACACTAAATAAATGCATAGTTCATTAAAAAAAAGTTAAGTCTTCTCTTCAAAAGCAATTAATCTAATTATTTGCTCAAAAAATACAGACACCATTTATTAGCAATTCATTTAGTTTAATACAGTATTATAACCTCTACCAACAACAACTCTTTCTTTCTAAATAAGCTGGGAACACCCTCAAAGAATCATAGCCTGGTCTATAACTGTGTTATGCTCTGTTAAACCCAACATCTGTTTAGTCCCAGAACTTGGCTCCATGATGCAGAAGCAGATGCTTCAGAGCAAACACAAGGGAGTTTATTTTGCACATCAGGACTCATTCCAATCTCAAATAGCTAGGGGTAGATATAAAGCCCAATTTTACTGTCCCTTCTAAAAGATCTTAATATTAATCATCAACAAGGTTTACAAGAATATCATTTTTCCTCTTCAAGTTAAAAGCAATTCAGCAATACATACATGCTGTGTCTGAGCTCCTAAGTGTAACTCAAGATACAGTTGAGCTTGGAAAAAAACTTGTCATGCTCTCTAAGCCTCCTATTTAAATAATTTTAGACAAGTAATTATAGTTCAATTAAGTATTCAATCTCCTACTGGTCTCACAACTTAAGTGCCAATGCCGACAGTTTGCTAATCTGTCCAGAATAGCCAGCTCCCCCTTCCAAAACTACCCTTGCCATGATTGTCTGGCTCAGCCTGCAGACAACCTGAAAAATATAGATTATATTTTTTTGTTGTTTTTTAAATGAACACTTTAAAGTGCAAGAATTTGAGATGGTCATGCAGACGATTTTACCATGCCATTTGAGATCTGGTCTCTAGGCTGGGTCTTTAATGTAACCATATGAAAATAAATTAAGAAGTGACCCTATTATACATTTGAAAACCTAACAAAATTTCATTTCCATACATAGCAGCACTTTGGTTACCTTTATAGTTTGCTGCTTTATGAACTAAAACAAATGGACATTGTTTTCCTTTCAAGCAAAGCAGCCAATATCACTGCAAAGATGAGAACGTATGAGATGTAATGCTGCTTATTCAAGTGTTAGCAAAGCTGCTGCACTGAGGTTTTTGGCTGATTCCTATTTGCATCCAAGAACTGCAGGTTTCAGACCATCTTTCACCTGTGAGACATTAAAAAGTCCCACAAAATCCTAACATAAAACCTCCCACACAGTTATGAGACTACTGTAATATATATACAATTCTCCATGCAACAGAAGACACAGACGATATATTAACTGTAGTTATTGTTCAGCTTCAATAGTCAAATTTTACTGTCCACACAATATATTTAATTCTGTCTACTCATTCATATTACAATAATATTTATAGCTA